CGGAATTTCTCTGACGCCACGCGAGTTTTTATTAGTGACATACTTGACAAGTTTCATTCATGACATACTGGACAAATGTTATACATTCGATATGCAGTGTGAACCCAACAAAAAAATAATAAAACAATATTTCAATAAACATCATTCCATTGAATTCATTCCACGTTTATTTACATAAGACGTCACAAAATCGATAATGAATGTAGCTTCTAGTTAAAACGCGAATTATTATTCCATTCACAATAATTCAAGTATTCGATATTCACGTATAAATAATTGGAATTGGATTTAAATTGGATTAGTATACACATTAATTATTCTCACAATATAATGATAAGATCTTATCTTCAATCTCATTCGTTCGTATTTTTTTTTAATGAAAATACTAATTTAAAATCTTATTACTGAAATAAAATTAAAACGCATTTGTATTAATTTGTGATGATTTATTTTTTTATAGACGAGAATTAGGTAAAATATTAACAGTATAAAATTTTATTGGAAAAAATAGTGTCATTAATACCATGTATTTATTTAAAATTTAATTAAAATTATATGAATTTACTGTATATTTATGAAACATAGAAAGATAAATCACGATTTTAAATAAATATAAATTCTAATTATTTTGTACTTAAAGTAACTTTGTTATTGAATATAGTTTTACGACTGAAGAAAGAAAATAGTTTTTTTTTATATAATCATGACAAAATCATACACAATGGAAATACACAAGTATATATTGAAATATTAAGATTCAAAACAATTATTTTTTCCAATTTTAAACGATAACTTTATTGAAGAAATATGGAAAGTAGTGAATAATAAACTTTATTTGGATATAAAATGATGATTTAGTATAATTAATAAATTTTGTATTTAAATATCAGTTTGAAATACTTTATTTTTTATGTATTTTTATGTAAATTATGATTATAAATATTTGTGAATTTTTCCTTAAAAATTTAAGAAAAAATAACAAATCTGTACTAATTTCAAACTAGAATTTATATAAATATTTTTGAAAATTATAGTCGAATGTACATATAACTGAAAATATATTTCTTTTTATATATATTTTTTTTGTTAACTAATTAATACAAAAATTCACCTAATAATTGTTAATAATTTTCGTATTTTCTATTGAAAAATTATATCATTTTTGACAAGTTTTACAACACATTTTTTTTTATTCAACATAAATCTTAATTTGCGTATTGAAAATAAGTCATTAGATTTGAGTTCAAGATTTTTTTTATAAATAAATTACAAAAGATAAATAGTATAAAATATACGTAATAATTGCTTTAACTTTGTTACGTATTTTCTATTACAAAAACAGCTTAAAATCACCTATTTTCAAGCGTAACGACTTGTAATTACTTTTCCTTTTGTTCAGAGTTCAACGACGTTACCACAATTAATTAACGTTTCTTCTGTTTCGTATTTTGTTAGAGGGAACAATTATAGTGAAAAAAAAAGAAAATAAGAGCAAACAACCAACAAAAATATGTTAACGACATAAAATTAGCGAAGGTTTTGTTGCACACGAACGGAAATTAATTGGGTTTTATGTTTTCATTCAATTAAAAGAGAAAGTGTTTCATTGTCGTTTGCAAACATTATCGGTTCGTATCGTATCAACATTTTATTCTAGAATCTACAACGGAGTGCAACAAAAATTAATGTACAAATCACACTCACACACGATCGACACTGAGACATTCTCCATTTGTTACAACCCAGTTCAAGGATAACTTATACACAATCAAACATGTGTATGTCATTTTATATATTGAACTACGTTAGTTTTTTGTTTTTTTTTTGTTATATATTAATTTTTGTTTAGTTTTACATTCATTTTTTTTCTTTATCTATTCAACTCTACTTAAATTATTGCAAATTTTTTGTAAAATTTTTAAACCACATTAAATTAGTTCCGCATTGAGAACTAATAGATTTTTGTTTAGCACTTTGCATACGAAAGTAATATTTTGCATGTCTACAAAAAAATAATAATTTAACAAGTCTAATTAAGTTGTTTTTACTTATTATTAATTAATATTTCATTAATTTTATTTGTTAAACAATTAAGTATGTTTTTATATATATGTGTATCATTTTTTATATAAAAATCTAATTGGAAAATTTTAATATAAAATTAGTACAAATTTACTTAAACTATTCAAGACTTTTTGAAACCGGACTAATCGAAGAACTAAATACATAGAAACGCTAGAAAAGAGAAAAAAAATACGAAGATTTAATTTTCTTATTACCAATGAATGTCTTCGATACTCTTACTCTTAAATACAACGAGAAAAGAAAATGTTAAAATTTTATTAAAGACTTCAAGTTTTTGTAAAATATTTTATTTTACAAATTTTGTACTTCGAGAAGTAACAATCTCATATTTTATTTTATTTTATTTTTTACTATTTAAAACCGGACTGTTTGAAACTAACCGAAGCCGAAGTATTGCTATATATATAAAAGGTTTTAAATAGATAGAGTTGCCTAATTTGGACCACTTTATTTATTTTGCATACTCCAAATGTGTGTAGAGAAATCAATTTAATTTGAAATTTTTGAACTATTTCATATTTATATCTTATATCACGATTTGTAAAAAAAAATGGTAAAAAGATAGGGAAAATTTGGAGATACAATTTGTTATTCATGAGATTCATTTTACGACTTTTCTTTATATACTTGAACATAATGGAATCTCACTTTAGGACTAGTTATTTGCTAATAATTCCTTTCAAACCTGTTGAAAATTATCTCAAAATTTGTTTGTATTTCTTATTTTTCGAAATGTGAATCATTATTATAAGATCTATTATGGCAAATTACAAAAATTGTATAAAAAAATGGAATTTATGCATAATTTTCCATTAATTATAATAATGAAACTATATGAAATAATTTAAAACTTACAGAATTTTATGATTTCAATGGGCGGAAAGACCTCGGTCGTTAGCCCTTTGGCCAGTCTATTAATATATATATTTTTATTGTATGTTAAAATTTATTTATGTATAAATTGTACTTTTTTCTCTTTTTTTCTCTGTATCTTATGTATCGATGTTTAGCCAATAAATTATTATTATTATTTTGATTTCAAAAAGAAACTGTATATTTTCAGACTGTGAATCTTACTTTAAGATATAATTCCTTTCAAACCTGTAGAAAATTACCTCAAAATTTGTTTGTATATGGCAAGTTATAAAAACAGTTTCTTTTTTGCGACTTTGTTACAAATATAAAATTATATAATTCAATTATAGAAAACAATGTAATAATTTTATAATTGTATGCGTTTAAAAGCAAACATTCTGACCTAAATACTTAATAGTATAATAACATGTTTTGTATTCGTGTTTTCTACAATTATTTCCTATCTTAACATTATAACAATCATAAAACAATATTAAAATGACTTAAAAAACATGTATATTCACATAGTTTCAAGCAATTATAAAAAAAAACTTCTAAAAAAAAAATTAAATTTACAAAAATTTAATAGTTTCGTATGATTTTAAAAAGAAATAGAAAATTAGAATAAAAGAATTTAGGAAAATTACACTTAATTATTTACATACTGAAAATTTTCTTTTTTTAATTGATAGATAATAATGGAAGTAGTCATATAACATTTTCGATATTAATGATAATTACTGCAGAAGGTAAAAAAAATATTATTATGGACTTTATAATTACTTGAATAATCGTTATTGAATTATTTCCCTTAATATTAGTATATTTTTAATATTACTTTTCTACTACAAATTACACAATAAATTATAAACATTTTGATTTAACATATGATTTAATTCTTAATAAATATTAAGATGTTAGAAATCACTAAATTATTTAGAAAAATATATAATTATATAAAATAATTCCATGAATCAACTTTTTTTTTGAGATTTTTAGTTTCATTATTTGTATATTATCAAGAATTTTAATTTGTTTTTTCTGTATATTTACATTTAAAGTTATGAAATTACTTAAGTACTAAAGTAATAATTTAATTATTATTTAATAAACTCACAATTTTCGAACTTTACTTACTATTAAAAAAAACTTAAAATAATTTTAGACATTTTTATTTTGTGTTACGTAACAACTTTTCATTGTTATAATTCGATTTGGGAGTATTATTTTTTTTTAGATTGTACAAAGCGAAGAATTGAAAATCGCTGACTCAAACGAATCCATGGTCGCTAAATTTTAAAAGGACTTTCAATGCCGACTTATGCAACATCAGATATTCCCTTTGGATTAAAAGCTTACAATCACGCACCACACCTTTCTTTCATATACATATATATATTTTATTATTATCACAGAATTTCTTTGTATCTGAAATACACCTAGAAAAGAAATTATCAACTTTTGTAAAAGATTTCCATTTATTACATAAATATATCAAAATCTCTATATTTTTATATATTTTGTACTTATTTTTAGTATTATTTGTTTTTATTAAAAAACTATGAACGAATGACCTCGAAATTCCTGTTAAGAGATAATTTGCATTTCATTCATATAAATTTGATATTATTATTCAAGTTTATATGATTTTTTTCTATCGAAGAGAAGAATCTAAAATTTTATTCAATTTAACAAAATTATAGCAATTTACAGTCTTCTATAATAATCATAAGAAACGATTACTATACTATAATAAAAAATAATTAAGTTTACATTAATGAATTAATGATTCTAATTAGACTAATTACAAATTATAGGGTTGGTTAAATACAGATTATTAATTTGTGATTCATCAAAGCTTTAGAAAAATATTTGTAATTTGTATACAATTTTAAGTTGTCTTATTGTAAAGTAAATTATTATGTTGTCAAATATAAAGAATGTCAGCAATTATCAGAATTTATGGTTCATAAATCATGTAATGTAAAAATTACGAATAACAAATGTAAACAACATTGCATTACGTCAGGTTAATTATTGTTTTTTCTCTGTTCTTTTAGTGAGAAATCGGCGATGGATTCTCGTTTCCAGAGGGTAAAGTCGGATGAAAATGAGCCTTATCCTCCCAGTGAGGTATGGAGGATCTGGAAGAACGTTCTGGCTTTGGGTTTTGCCTTCATGATTCTCTTCACTGCTTTCTGGGGAGCTTCGAATCTTCAGAGTTCGATTAACGCCGATGAAGCATTGGGAACGTTCACTTTAGCTTCAATCTACGCATCTCTAATTCTCTCCAACATATTCCTTCCGGTCATCGTTATAAAGTAAGAATCTCTTGTTAGGATAGGAATTAGTTCAATTGATGAAAGCGGATGTCTCAATTGAAGAGCTGTGATTTGAATAAGTTTTTGTTTATTAATTGATGTGAACATGTGTAAAATTGTACTAAAACTACATTAACATATAAACTGGAATAAATCTGGAGAAAAACTAGATTATAACTGAACTGAAGACTGAACTAAAGACTGAACTAAAGACTGAACTAAAGACTGAAGTAAAGACTGAACTATAAGACTGAACTATAGACTGAAATAAAGACTAAACTAAAAATTGAACTAGATACTAAACCAAGACTAAATTCAATAGAATAATTTACAAAAAAGTTTCATTTCTACATATATATATTTATATTTTCAGATGGTTTGGATGCAAATGGACAGCATCGATTTCCGTGATTGCCTACATGCCTTTCATAATAGCCCAATTTTATCCTAAGTTCTACACAATGATACCAGCAGGTTTAGCTGTAGGCTTCGGAGGAGGTCCTCTTTGGTGTGCCAAATGCACTTACCTCACAGTCGCAGCTGAAGCCTACTCCCAAATTACAGGCATCTCTTCTGATGTTATTGTTACCAGATTCTTTGGAGTTTTCTTCATGTTCTACCAATTCTCTCAAGTATGGGGAAACCTAATTAGTTCCGCAGGTAAATATATTATATCATTGATAATTTTTACAATAAAACTAATGAAATAAACATTTCATAACTGTTCATTAAATTTCTCACAACTGTAATTTATTACTTGATTGATTTAAAATTAGATAAATATGAAAATTCAAGTCATTAATCTACAAATCATGATTATATGAAGAAACTGTTCGAGTATATGGATTATATAAGAAATCCTCTTTAGTATCGAAAATAAAATGATATTGGTTATTTTACTGGCGATTTCGGCCATCAATTGCAACTTTGCCGGAAGCATACCCTTTGAACGGGACCATAAAATAAACAAACAACATCGAAACTTTATCTGTTGTGTATGGAGGAACCTTTATAGTTTGATACAATGTTTCTTGATCTGCTCTTAGATTTGATGATCCATTCTTTATTTTTTGCAATTTCATCCGCATCTGAAAGGATGTGTATTCGATGAGTGATTGCGCAAATGATTGCAATTTTATGTTAAATGTCGACAGTTCTTTCGAATGGGGCCGGAGAACCGGCGATAGAGATCATAATGAATGCGACAAAGGAAGTAATGAACGGCACCATTGGGAATGTCGTGAATGTATGCGGCGCGAACTTCGAGCCGAGCATCGCCGCCGCCGACGCCAACCCCAATCTGGCGCCACCTCCGATGTCGAAGATCCATCTCATCGCGGGCATTTATCTTGCATGCATGATTGCAGCCTGCTTGATCATAGCATTCGCCGTTGATTCATTGTCAAGGTAATATGTTTTGTTATTTCTAGAAATCTAAAGATCTTCTTGGTATATTTTTATTTTAACGTGCGTTCGATAATGCGTACATCATTGTTCACACTAACGTACAATAATCTGTATGAACCCATACTTATTTCTATTCCGCTAAAGAACTTAATATTTATTACGTAAACCGACTTTGGTTTATAATAGAATTATTAATATTTTATAACAATACGTACGTAATTGTTAAAGTATAACTATTTGTATAAACGTACAATTACATTAATCCAACCAGTGCTGGGTGCATTCTTATTACGTATAAGTCATCTCTTAAGTATTTTGTTGTTCAATTTTACTCCTAAATACTATTTCAATAAAGCTGAAGTACTTCATGTTGGATGACAATTAATGACATAATCCTTATAACAAATCGAATTATTAAAAATTAGTTAATTTACACCCTTTTAACGTGCGTTTGATGATACGTACATAATTGTTCACGTTAACGTACTAATATTCTTATGAACGTACTATTACAGTAATGTATCATTCTTATTACGTATATGACATCTGTGCAAGTCAAATTATGACATTACTTATTTAATTTTCTATAACTCTTTTTAGGCAATGTTAATAAGTATTAAGACAATATAACAAATTTACGATTATTTCAGGTATGACAAAGGAAGAACCGGAAGCGGCAGTGGATTATCCGGCACGAAACTGCTGGCGGTAACCATGAAACAGCTGGCTAATCCTTACCAGCTCTTAATCCTTCCCATAACGATGTTTATCGGAGCCGAGCAGGCTTTCATCGCCGCAGATTTTAACGCGGTAAGTGATCGACTAATCCCCGAAAATCCTTCTAGTCTTAACGCTAATCGATACTTTGCAGTCGTTCGTCTCCTGCGGCTGGGGCATCAGCAACATCGGCTTCGTGATGATCTGCTTCGGAATCTGTAACGCCATTTCCGCCCTCTTCACCGGAAGCATCGTTAAGATCACAGGTCGCAGTCCTGTCATAGCTTTCGCTCTGGCGTTGCACGTAGCCCTCATAGTTGTCCTGTTGGTATGGCAACCGGAAGAACGTAATAAATACATGTACTTCCTTGTTGCCGGTCTGTGGGGGGTGGCGGACGCTGTTTGGCTTGTCCAAATTAACTGTAAGTATCGTTACATAACAATAGACGGATGTCGGATTCACATGTCGGGAAATGTCCGACATCATGTGGAAACACGTGTTATTTGTTGATGTTGTCGGTTTATGTATACATTATCAGATAATCTAAGTATGTACTAATTTGAAAAGTTAATATAGTTATAAGTAATGAAACTAATTTGAAGCAAACATGTTCATATTAGTATTTACATACAATTGAATATGTACACATTTTCCAGTCAATCTAAATACTATTAGCAAATATTTTCATAGTGGATTTAAAGTATGTAAATGCAGTTAAATATTGTCGATATATTATAGTTACTGAATCACACTTTTTTATTCTATAGAATTATTTTACAATGTTTAATGTAATGAAATTTAGTAAAAACTAATATTTGTGTTTTCTGTTGTTCTAAAGCTCTCAGCGGGATTCTGTTTCCGGGTAAAGAGGAAGCCGCCTACAGCAACTTCCGGCTCTGGGAAGCAACAGGTTCCGTCATCACATACGCCTACAGCCCTTACCTGAACACTCGCATCAAGATCTACCTTCTACTTGGACTTCTCTTCGTAGGCGTTTCCGGATACACGGCCGTCGAATTCCTCGAGTTGAAGACGAAACACGAAAAAATCGACGGACCGGTCAAGGGAAAGTTCGAGCTGGTTCAAGCGAAGGAGGGCTTCAAGAGCGGCGAAATAGCCGAATAAAATAGATTCCATCAAGATCCATAATCCTTGAAGAAGGACGAACGAGTAAAAGGAATCACGAATCTCAGGGACACGTTCAGTGCGCGTTTAATTGAAATATCTCATTTCCTTTTCCCCATTCTCCTTTTTGTTTCTCTTATATTAAGACAATTATCTACGTGTAAATAGGTTCTATGTTTTTTGTTGGTAGCGAATTATTAGATTTGCAGAAGATGGGATTCCTCCTCAATCTCTATCTCTCTCTATTTCTCATTTTCTCCAGCTCCTCGACATCCGAAGGCCACAATTGGTGGTAGTTGTATACTTGAAAATCAATTGAGGTCTTGAGCTATTTCCGATGTAATTTCCTCCAGTTTCCATCTCACTTTCATCGCCTCCCGGGATGGAAAACTGAAAACGAGTTCTACTGATGAAAATCGCTGCAAGAGATATTTATGTTTTGGTTATTAGTTCAATATTTTTTTTCCCTAAAACTTTCAATACACATCTATTTCTCAAGGAAAAAACGATAAATTTACTGAATAATCTTTGTCTCAGACAAATAAATATAATAATATTCATTGATATAATAGCTACAATTTAAGTTTTATATTTGTGTAAAAAGCAATATTACATAATATTAAATCATTTCATTATCAAAAAATCTTAATTTTCGTGTTGCTTTAATATTAAGTAAATATAAATAAGTTATTTTTAATAAAAATATAACATGTTTAAGTACGGAGAAACTGCGGTCAATTGTATATGTATTATTTCTCAATCTCTCAATTGTATTTTTTTTATGACGAAGAAAACTTTTCTATTAATATAAACTATTAACAAATATATTGTTCATACCACAAGAAAATATATGAAAATGAATAAATGTTTATTAATATACGAAAATGGATAGAAGTTATAATTTATCAAAAAATTTATCAATAATTAATGGCTTTGCCAGGAAGCAAATAAGTATTTTTTAATTATGTTAGAGAAATTTAATAAAATTATCTATTACTATGTATAATTTGGTACGAATTAATTGTTATAATAATAATTATATTATATATGTATAAATATTAAGAATTTAATTAATTATGTATATAAATTATGTAAAATAAAGTATATTATAAAGGGTGTCCCAAAATTAACGCAAGATTTGAATTTTCCGCTATTTGTGTAGTAAAGTGTTGGCAACCCCAAAAAAACCACAATCTGAAGACTAAAAACTGTGTTTTCTATTTAATTCAAATTATGCGTTAATTTTGGGACACCCTTTATATAGTTTACTATCAACTATTTAGTTCATATATGACATGTATACATTTTTTTGAGTAAATTTTTAATTAGCAGATGTTAATTTCAAATACTTAATTACCAGTCTGCTATGGAAAATCAAATTTCTGTTCGAAAACCGAGGCTCTCTTCCATAATATATATATATTTACTGTTTACTATTAACTTTAATTATTTATTATTTGTTCCTTTTCATGAAATTAATCAATATATATTTTGTCTATCAACAAAGCAAATAATCTTAATATTACAGGCAAAATAATAATAATTAATACATTTTTTTTAGATATTTTAATATTACATAAAATGGTTTCTTTTACTACGCTTCTTGTAATATAACTAACTTTTTCGTGATGAAAATTAATGACAGCAATTTTTCCATCTTGCTTTCACATGTTCATGTTTTATTTAATTACTAATTAACTACATATATCAATTATATAAATGAACATGCAAATTATAGACAAAAGTATGAGTTTTTCTATGTGTTAACTATCAGATTTGTGCACTTTATAATTCTCCTGTAATAGTCTGTATAATTTGAAAGTTCTAATTTTTGTGTTATCTACTTATTATAACATTTCGATATGTACATATCAATGAGCTGTTTACTTCCTCATCTTTGTCATTTTACCTAATTAGAAGATGGTTAAGAAGATTTTAATATTTACAAATTAATAAATCTTCATCCCTACAACTACTCCCATCCTCCCTTCATCCTTCGATTATTATAAAAGAAACTACAACTCTATATATATTTTTTTTCCCTTATTCTTCTGTTGTTCATTGTATATTATTATTATAATACTGATATTATTTTATAATAAAGTGTATGTATTCCGCTGTTTTCCCTTATTCTTCTAGTTTTCATATGTATATATTATTATTGTTCCACAATTAAATTATGTTCCCGGGCGGAAAGACCTTAATCGATAGCGCTTTGGCCAGCCTATTATTATATAATGATCTGTATATTATTACATATGCTGAAAAGTAAATAGTATAAGGGCGGAAAGACCTTGGTCATTAACCCTTTGACCAACCTATTAATATTTTTTATTTTATTTTATGTTAGAATTTATTTCATTAAATTTATATTCCCGGGCGGAAAGACCTTGGTCGATAGCCCTTTGACCAGCCTGTTAAATATTTTTTTGTAGAATGTATTTTTTTTATAATTAGGGCGGAAAGACCTCGGTCGTTAGCCCTTTGGCCAGCCTATTAGTATATATATTTTTATTGTATGTTAAAATTTATTTATGTATAAATTGTACTTTTTTTTCTTCTTCTTATGTATCGATGTTTGGCCAATAAATTATTATTATTATTATAAATCTTCATTTCCACATCTTTTGGTTCTAAAATATTCAATTAATGTTAATTATTTAATGAGATTTAACATTTTTGTTTTAAATATTTACTTTTTTTAAATTTATATTTTACAGATTAACCAAAAAAATGCTTAAATATTTTCTCATTACTTCAAGAACCGCTCTTTTAGTATAGAAAACATTACGCAAAAATAACTAATAAGCGAGATGTACATATTTATCCTTTTCTTCTCTGCAGTTTTTGTTGTGAATCAGGGCATATTTCTGTACAAACTTTAATAACAATCACAGCGATAGTTTTGTATCGCGCGCGATATACCGTTTCCATTCTGCAGACTGACTCATTTCACTTGGCGATAAAAAATTTACCGCGTTTGTGAAACGAGTTATGCGGCATTTCATTTCGCGCATGATGAAAAGGAGAAATCGCGCGAGTTCGGCACGGCACGACGCGATTCCGTTCTCAAATGCAAGTCAGCACAACGGGCGATACTCTTCGTATCGCGGCCATTTTCAACGTTCGACATGTCCAGAAAGCACCAGTTCCAATACAATCCTTGCGATTTGATCGACTTGATCAAGGAGAGGCCCATCATCTGGGATAAGACCATCGATGAGTATAAGGATAAGGTGATGAAGGAGATGGCTTGGACAGAGGTGTACGGAAGCCTTAACAGCGAGTACGAGAATATGAACGAAAAAATGAAGAAGAAAACAGGTGAGTAGTAGTCGTCCAAAGGTCACAGTTCGTTGAGCTCTCCTGTTTACTCATTCGGCTACGTTGCACAAAAATGTATAAACTAATTATTTTAAGAAATTAATAGGAAGTATACGTTGATGATACTTACTTTTTAATTGCAAAATACACATCTAAAACAAAATGTTCAATTTTATTGTAAATATCGCGCTGAATCGCAATAAAATCGCTTAGAGTAAATCTATTTCCAATAGAAATTATTTCTCGGGAAATTAATTAAACAAAAACTAATTAACTTTTGTAACATTAAAAAACAAGTTTTAATTGTTTAACTTGTTAATTTTGCAATTAAATTCCGAAGTACGATCACTTGGAGTTTGAACTTTGTAATTTAACAATTTAACAATTTTTCTTTTTCTTTTTTTTTCTTCCAACATTTTGCAAGTATTTACAATTTGATTTTCAATAATATATGTATTTTTTGTAACTTTAATGCGAAAAATAGATCTTTGAAAAAGTATGATTCATGTTACTAAATATAGAGTTATAATGACTGTCACATTTATATAATGCTGCATCCACACTATGCGTTACATGAACTTTAAATGCAGACGTACCAACAACTATTTGATAGATTATAGTTAAATGACAGATGACAGTAACATGACAGGTGACAGCTAAATGACAGATGTAACTGCTTCAGTTGGTACACCTTTTATATAATATATATGTCAATGCATATACTTCATTAAATACACTAAGGGATGAGAACACTTTATTCATAACAACAATTTATATAAAAATTTACTAAATTTCAGCTGAATCGATAAACGAGAAATGGAAGAACATCCGTGATGCCTTCATCCGTTCTCTGAAGAAGAAATCGAACAAGAAGTACCTCTACTCCGACAACTTGCAGTTTCTCCTCAAAGTCCTCGACAAAGACGATACCAAAGGATGGGTCAAAGTAGAGCTACCAGGAAATGCAGATTTCTCTCACGAAGAATCAGGAGAAGAACAGAAACCAGCAGCAGCAACGCCTCGTCCACGCTCTCCGAAATACAGGAAGAGAAAGGCCACATTCGAAGTGGACGAACCGACATCGACTACAGTAGTTCAAACACCTCAAGCTTTTCCACCTGTAGAGAACGCAGAGGATAAAGCCTTCTTCATGTCTTTGATTTCATCGGTGCAGAGATTCAAAGAAGATGAAACTCTTGAATTTCGTATGGGTGTTTTGTCTTTGATACAGCAAATCAAGCAAAAACGACAATCTTATTAATTGGTACTACTCTAATTTTGTATTACATCATTTATATTTTAGTTACTAATGTTGGTAATAGCAACTTTATTTTTATATGAAAAGTTTTAGTACTTAGTTATACATTAGTTTTAGTTAAGAAGTGTAATTTTCTTATGTATAAAACCAATAAAATATTGAAATGTTGTTATGATTATTACAATATTATTACAATTTCATAACCAATTTTTTTAACACTAAAATATTCTACTAATACTTGATAACTAAACCTTCAGCATTAATAAGACTTAATGACTTACGACTTATTAATAATTTCTTCTTCTTTTAAACCTCCACTCCCTTCATTTAGCTTGTGTCAAGCAGAATTTATCCAGCTACCGCCAATGCCTTTTTCTTACGTAATCATAAAATATATAAGAAGTGTTTATAATGATATAGAAAATTGAAAAATCTTATGAAAATAGTGTTAAAAAAATTTCGAAACTTTATAAAACAATTGGATCTTGTAGTAAACATTACATAACACTACTTATATAAAAAGATACGAAATTGAAGATTCCTTCTTATGTAATCATCAAAAAGTTTTCATGTTAATATGGAAAATTGAAAAATCAAATTTGTTCAAAAAAAATTCAATCTTTCGAAACAATTGGAAAAATCTTGATTGTTAATAAACTTTGCATAATAGTATTCATATGAATGAATTCGTAATTGAAAACTTCGTAAACTATATTAAAAGTTTTCATATTAATATTGAAAATTGCAAAAATATTTTAAAATAATGTTAAAAAAAATGTTGATTTTGTTTAACTATCCGAATATTCTGAATCGCTATTAAATATTGGGTAATAGTACTTATATCAAAGAATGAGCAATTTAAGACTTCTTTGTATGAAATCATAAAAAATAGAAAAAGTTTTCGTGTTAATGTAGAAAATTGAAAGATATGAAAATAGTGTTATAAAATTATCGAAACTTTTTAAAGCAATTGGAATAATCTCGATGGTTAATAAACATTCAATAATAAGTTCATATATCAAAGAATGCGCAATTGAAGACTTTTTCATATGAAAACATAAGAAATAGAAAAAGTTTTCATGTTAATGTAGAAAATTGAAAAATATGAAAATAATATTCAAAAATTTTCAAAATTTTTTAAAACAATTGGAATAATCTTGATATGTACTAAACATTGAATAATAATACTTATATGTAAGAATGCGCAATTGAATATATAGTCATATGTAATCATAAAACATAGAAAAAAAATTTTTTTCGAAAAATTTAAAAACAATTGAAAATATCTAGATCGTTAATAGACAGAGGTTTTATAAAATGATACAAAATGATATTTTGTGAATTTCATAAGAAAAGGTAAGTTTTTTACTTAAATTTAATCCCCAAAAAAATTGAAAAATATTATCGAAAAAGCCTTAATCTTAAATGTAAACTTTCCAATGTGATCATTTCCCAAAATTGAATTTCCTTTTTAGTAAAATATAAAACAATTTAGAAAAATATGTGAATATTTTAGAAAATGTGAAAATTGACGCAAATATTACATTTTCAACGAAAAAAGAAAGTATCATAGTTTATTTCCATCCTTAAATTTATTATCATTAAATGTTATTCGGTATACATCTACATCACGAACATTTACAATTGTCATTCACATTACTATTTACCATATCAGATGCACTAAATATAAGATAAATTCACATAGTAAACCTAAAACGGACACAAACTTGACTTGACCATCAAATTGTTATTAAATATAGATATATTTTTTCCACCAATTTAATCCATGAAATATCCTCATTTTCAATGTAGATTCTTTTGTTGTTTTCACCTGTCCTCTAAACGCTACAATTAATTAGCTCTTCAATTGTATTTACAAAACGGACATTCATCTCCAAAGAGCGCTTACTTCCTAATAGGAACTTTGGTTTCATATACTTCGTGGAAATCCCTCAAGATTTCAACGACTGCAAAAAAAAATCTGACTTGGGAAAATCGATACAAAAAAAAACAATTAAACAAGTAAAAACAATAAATAAATATAGAATCAATCTAAATCATGTTTTATTATTATCATCATAATTATGTTGCCTTATTAATTTTTTTTTTGCTTCTTTAATTTCAAATCTATCATCGACTATACAAGTAGTTGTTTCATTCCATCATCATCATCATTATCATTTTTTTTTGTAGTTGTAGTTGTTTATTTTTGTACAAATATTAAAATATACACACGCACAGAAATACACTATCATTATTAATTTTATATTTTTTTTTTCATCATAACTTGAATTACTTTTTTTTACCATCTCCAACTTTCTCCTCACTTTTTTTGTTAAATCCTTAAAAATATTTTGTTTTTTTGGGGGGAAACAATAGACAAAAGCAAAATTGAAACGAAAACGTAGAATGTGACTCGAAATATTTTCCTGTTTTTTTTTTCCTCATTTTTAAAGCCAAAATTTTATCACATTTTTGATTTTGTAAAATCGTCTTTTTTTTTTGTAGGTTTTCACACCTGAAATAAAATTTAAAATAATAATAATAATAATAGAGTAACAATTTTGAATTTTCCTTTTACTAGAAACCAAAGAGAAATGAACGCAACGCTCGCAATGATTCGAGTTCTTCATGGGGATTCGATGTAGGCCACCAAAGTTACGCGCGAATTTTGAATTGTTCCCAGCGTTACGTGCAATTCTCGAGGCTGAACATAAAACGTGTAATACATAAAACTTCTTTATGAAACAATATACATCTCTTCTCCTGCTAATTACAAGTAATCATATCTGTTAGAATATAAACCTTGGATCTTCCATGGCTTGATTGTAGATGCTTCCTAAAACATGTTCTGTTTAAAAACCTTCTTCGAGGCGAAGTCTCAAGCACTTCTCACATATATATTGCATCACTTGGTCATTTATAAAACTATTGTTTATTTTTATTTTTTTTATCATTATTTTTTTTTATATCATTCATATATTTCTTTTTATTTCCATAATAATTACTATTTACAATTTCAAATACGTATACATTTCTCATTTTGTCTCCTTCATTATTTCTCAAATTTATGGTGGATTTGTTCTTTCTTTTTTGGCATTCTCCACTGATTAGATATGTACTTTATCCCATAACTCTTTCAAAACATCGAATTTGACAACTCTCTTTGCTCATATAGAAAAACCATTGATACAATTCTCTCAAGTGATAAACAAAAATGTATAAAACTTAAATTTTCAACAACAAAAACTTATAAATTCAAATATCAGCGCTGCATTATGTAACGTGCGTTAAGTGCGTGTAGACAACTTGTGATGCATAATGGATTTAAGTTGCATACAACACAAGATCAGAAACTAAAAACTTGGCTTCAGAAAAGAAAAAGACAAATATTTATTTTGAAATCTCAAAACTTAAACTAAATTTCGCTTATTTTTTTAGTAAACTTTACTAAAACAACTAATATATGTACTAAACCAATCAATAATTCTTAAATCATTTGTCAAGTTTTGAAAAAAATAAATATGAAAAATTTCTAAAAATTTAATTATTATTTTTAAGTTAAATAATTTCTTCTTAATTCAAATTTAAATCAATTCTAATTAAGACGAGAGTTTTAGTACCCTTTTCAAGAGGTTTATTTATGAACTGAGTAATGACCTTGAAAAATTTGTTAGTTTAAAAATGATCTCATCAATTTGTAAAATCAAGTAGACAATTTAGAAAAAAGTTTATTAAATGTTGAATTTACATTAGGAACGAAGATTTCTGGATTAGGTTAAAGTGCGTTAAAATCTTACGGTGTTATAATTATTATATTCTTTTCAGCTTAAGATTTAAATGTTGAAATCACCATTACTTTTATTCTCAATTTAAATACAAAATATATATATATTCATCTTTTTTTATAGTTTATAGTTTCTAGAAAATAAAGATACGCTATTTTACATATATTCACGTGGTTAATCGCTAAATATTCTTACTAATAAAGATAAATCACTTTTAGTACATCAATGCTTGGAGCTCGGAATGCTTTTAGAAACAAAAATCTAAATAAATAACGTCTCGTTAAAAATATAATAATAATAATTATAAAACATGTTAAAAGCTAAATTAATAAAAACGTAACAAAAAAAATAATAAATATTTCTCTTTCTCTTTTTTGATATTTTGTACTATTTCAGATTAGATTTAGAAATTGGGTGTGCTTATGCATTCCTCTGAATCGAATTTGTTGTTGTTTGTTAAATAACGTAAATTTGTATCATCAATGAATGAAAAATAACACAAAAACCTTCGGGTTTCATATGAGCATAGAAAGTTGCCGAAAAAATCCTCCACTTGTTTTCCTTCAATTTATCATAAATTACAAAAAAAAACAAATAATCAGTCCACAATCTACGTAATTATTAGAGTCTTTTCGCTCGTCCTCTGAAAAAAAAGAGAAAGTCACATAATCACCTCCGTTTGCATCCAAGTCTCTTTCTTATTCCTTTTTAGTAACGTTTATGCACTCATCAAATTCCGTGTTCGGTTTTCCACAATAGTCAATAGTTGGTACACACAAAAAAAATTTCTTTCTTTTAAATCACAGAACTTTTTTTGCATGTATTCATTCATGGCGTTTTCTGTTTATTTTGTTGTTGTTGTTGTTCTCTTTAGATGGTTTGATGTGCACTTATTTACACCATCCCTTTGGACATCATGCGCACTGTGTTCTTGAGGGCCTGCCTCTTGTTGCAAAACCATATCCTGATCACCTCTCGCTCGTACCCGAGCTGATGGGCTAATCCTGTGATCTCGGTTCCTGCAAATCAAGAGTCAAGTATTAAATTAAGATGTTTTTTAAGGTAATGAAGACAACTTGGTGCGGATTCCTCATTTACCTGATGGATGAGTGTTTCGCTCGAAATGCGCGTTGAGTAGTTCCAAGGCTTGCGGAGTGAAAGAGGTCCTCCGTTTGCGTTTCTTCGACGGTTCAATTCCTATGAAGTCCGTCAGATGGTTCTGCCCGCTCTTGTATCTGCAATAAACACTTTAACGCATTATTTAATTATATTAACTCAAGACTTATTGAATCAAAACGTCGAACGTTATTGTTAAAATATCCCAGACTGTTAGAAAATGGAATAATCGAAAGAGTTCGACGAAGATTTTACTAAATTTGATGACTCCTTCACCACAGTAGTCATGTATACATTTTTGTATTAGCGAAGTTGCCTGTGTAAATGATAAGGCGGATATATCCGCCCTCACCCTCATACCTTTAGTTTAGCAAACTCAAATAAATTGTTGTATTGAGAAATGTGTTAAAATAAAATAAGATGCTAATACAGCTTATATAAAACTATTAGTCACATTTCAATAGAGTAGAACTGGATTGTGAATCATAAGAGTAATTAATTATTATTTTTTTATATAAATTGCAAATTGATTTCTTTTATGAAATAAATTTGTATTTAAATATATCTTGAGATTGGAATATACGTGGATGTAATCATCAGAGGTTAAGTAGAAATGAAAGTGACGTTTCTTTGCATTTGTTATGCAAGACATAACTTAATAAATCATAGTAGAAATGCGTGCGTCAATTTCAATCTAGGCTAATGATGACTTAATATTCAATAAAATGTTAACATAAATAAATACAAAACAACTTCAATTTTCAATGAAAATATACCATTTTCTTTCTCATATCATCAAAAAATGAAAAAACATAAATAATTTTCTACTCTGCGCAATATGAAATTATAATGAATATTATGAGAAAAAAAAGAAAATACACATTCATTAAAATATAAATGAAAAAGGTGGCTTATTTCCATATGATTATTTTGAATAAATATTGTTCTCTCTATAAAATGTACATTTTAAATAAAATAAAATTACGATTGGATTTCATGTAAATTTGTTAATTGGGAATACAAAAAAAAAACCTATGTGAAAATGCCAAAACGGGTTTAATTATGCTTAAAAGAATCGGATTGCTCTCGTTTCGCGCATGAAAATTATTATTTTTCAGCTAAATGACATCTGTCTCGATTTATTCGGACCATTTTCAGTATTAATAGAATTTCAAGAGCGCGCTGCAAATATTGTTATTGTTTAATGCAGTAAACGAATGATAATGATTCGATAAAAGTGCGATCGATGTTCAATTAGCGTACGTTCGATAATACGTACATGATTATTCATCGCTCTTTGAGTGAAATAATCAATAAATTCATATAAACGTATGTAATTATGATAGATGTGTATTGACTATTTGTTTTGTATAATTGACTTGAGTCCTAGTTAGACTATAACTTTTTTTCTTCTAAAATTCGTCTTAATAAAAATAATAACTTCACTGTGATCGTGGCTCTATTAGTAACATGTACTTTATATGAATCTTTCAATTGCCGTACGTTCGATAATACGTACATAATTATTCATTGCTCTTTGACTGATATAAATTATAAATCCAAATAAACAATGTACAATTATGGCAGATGCATGTTGACTACTTATATTGTACATTTGAATACATGTTACACCACTATGTAACAAAAATATAAAATCGATATAAATTTTTGATGCGTCAGCAAAATGTACGTTTGTGCGAACGTCGAGTACGTTTGTGACAAATAAGAAACATGTGTGTATAAAATAAATAAATGCATGAATTCAGTATCAGTTAAATACCATGTGCTAACTTTGTACGTTAATTGAACGCTAACCCTATTTTCAATTTATCGTACATAGAAATGTAAAATTTATACTACAATCGGTCCTCTTTTTATGCGGTTTTTATTTCAAGAAGCATTTTTTTAAATAACTATTTTAGGCCATTTTGACACGTTTTGACACAAATTGGCAAACCATTTAATCGAAAAAGATTATAATTCTGAACGAGCATTCAAGTTTGAACGCGAGCTTCAGAATTGCATTTCTAGATATCAGGAATTGTACAAAAACATAGCAAAGCCATCGCAAAGTTTAATCACTGATTATATTGTGAAAAGGAAAAAATCAACATGCGAAGTTGAGACTAATTTTACTTGTGAAGAATCATTATCTTCAGGACATAGATCTGATATGCTGACTATCTCTTCTAGTGATGAAAGTGATTTCGAACCAGTTCGCAAACTATGCCGAACACTCTCATATAGCGACGATAATTCTAAAGAAAAAAATGTGAAGAAAGATTAACTTTCATCCAAATTTTCTGTATTTTTTTTTTGTAAAATTTTTCCGTATAAATTTAGA